GGTAATCCCAGGAGTTTTGAGTACGTGTGATATCTCAGTTTTTTGTTTTTTTTGGAGTGTTATTCCTATTAGTTCTGATCAGAGGCTAGTTTAAACACCAGAAATAGCATATGACTGAATCAGTATAAAATGGGTCATTTTGCCATCCGCATACATTCACATGGACGACACAATGAAACCTCTGAATTGGATCTGCTGTCTGTCAACCTGACGTGACCACTCCCAGTAGCAGCACACACAAGCTGTAAATTTCTCTTCCTCTTGGGCATGATAGGAAAGTGCTGCATGTCCAAACACCAGCCATCAAATGATTTAAAATGGTTCCTACCCTCAAGCAAAATGCATCATATACAGATAAAAAAGACTGTCATTCATTCTCATGACACTTATAAACTCAGCTCGGCTTCCGACACTTCTAAGTCTGTTCAAATATTCTGTAACATTCTTACAGATATTGTGTCTTATTTATTTTTGTTTTGACAAAGGGGCTTCCTTTTTATATACGGTATATCTTGCAAATAATCAATACAGCCTAAATTTGAAATGCTAACTCTCATTAACTGTGACACTTCTTGGTGACATGAAGACACTAATTCAAATATGTAAGTATGCAGAACTATAAATATCCTTGCATTCTTTCATTTCTGAAGACATGATCTAAAATCTAACATGCTATCAGCATTCATTTCTAAAAGTGTCCCAATTCAAGCCTCCTTTCATTTCCAAATGATTACACACAAGAAACCAGATTTGCTCACTCATTGACATGGGAGTGTATTGGATGCTTGGGTCTTGCGTTTATAACACTTACTCGTTCATCTATAGTGACTGCTTTATTTGTTTTCAGTTTCAATCTTGACTTGGTTTCACTTACATTTGGACTCGAGCTTGACTTGGCCTTAACCCCCTTAAGACTCTTGACTTGATCTCGGCTAGTCCTGGTCTTGGACTTCACAATGGTGGTCTTGAGTTCAGCCCTACTAATGTGTTTATATTTTAGGAAAGAGAACCAACTAAGTTCACAAGAAAATATTAGGTACCTGCAGATAACTGCAGGACTGTACAGGATTGGTCAAGCATGTTTGCAAGAGTGAGTGGGAGTGGGATTAAAAACTGGTCCTACACATACCTCTATACGGTAGTGTGTGACTACACTATATGGTCAAATGTATGTGGACACCTGACCATCAAACCCATAATTGAGCATTCCACAAACTGATTGCCAAAATGTTGGAGGCACACAATTGTATATCATGTCTTTGTAATGTGCAGCATTACAATTTTCCTTCACTGAAACTAAGAGGCCAAAATCTGCTCCAGCATGACAGTGCCCCTGTGCACAAAGCGAGGTCCATGAAGACATGGTTTACCAAGGCTGGTATGGAAGAACCTTCACAGAGCCCCGACCTCACTCACAGTATACACCTTTGGGATGAATTGGAATGCCGACTGCGTCCCAGGAAATCCCACCCATTCCTCACTAATTTTCTTGTGGCTGAATGAGCAAATCTTCATGGCCACACTCCAAAATCTAGTGGAAATCTATTGGAGGGACTAAATCAGAAATGGGATGTTCAACAAGCACATATGGGTGTGATGGTCAGATGTCCACAAACCTGTGGCTATATAATGTATATCAGGAGCTGCAGTATTGCTGGGGGTTTTAAACACTGTGTGCATTTTCCACTCAACATTTTTCTTGCACAGTTTGATCATCCCCAACCTTTCATCAGTGATCATTTTCTGATGACAGGTCACGGCTGGCTGAAGATTTTCGGTTGGTGGACTGTTTCTCTACCCAGCAGTTTAAAAAGCCCAGCAATGGTGCTGTACCTGATACACTCATAGTAGAACCAGACACACATACACTACCATGTCAGTGTCATTCATTGCTCTTCGGAGAATGATGAACCACCCAAATAATATCTGGTCAGAGATAGCATTTACCATTAACTGGAGGAGTAGACGTGGGCTGATAAATGTCATATCAACAGATAGGCTAACAGTAATTGTATATGCATAACGTGCACTATATGGGGGTGAACCTAATAACCTGATATAATCTGTATTGACCAAAATCATCTCCAAGAGGTTACTGACACGGGATCAAGTGATTATGTGGTGTGGCAATCCTTTTCAGATAATGTTAAGCTCAGATTATAGACTTCTGCTTTTACACAGTGACAAATAAAAAGCATTGCAAAATTGAATTCATCTTTTAAAAAATTGCCTTATAAGTGAGAGCATGTGCAAGTGATAAAGAAAATTCTCCAGAGGAATATTGATTTAAAAAAAAAAATGATGTTAGCTCATCTAAACATTCCAGCAAAAAGCTGGTATCAAGCAATAACCTCTTTGCCTGTAATTGCCAACAGGAACAGTAGCCTGTTCCCAGTGAGCTAAATATAGTCATTGGGCCACTCTGTGTCATAATACACGTGATACGGGTGGGGGGATATATTGTACCTGACCTAACCTAACAGAGAATGGCTAAAAGTCAAATCTATTACTATGCTGATAAGTTATGATACAGTACTCTACATTGTTCAGTTTAAGCAATAACCTTTCATTTGATCTTTTTAAGACTTACGAAGAGCAGGATGTGAGAGAAATAGAGAGAGAGAGAGAGAGGGAAGAAGAGGTGGAGTAAGTTGGATGAAAAGACAGGCTTGAGGACGTAAGCTGAGATGCTGTTGGTCAATACACCGAGACGTCTGGCTATATTTGGCAGCTCCCCTGAGGTCTGCCTAGTGCAGAGTTTGGCCTTTTTCCCTCCTTTCCCCAGTTTCTGTCACAAGAACTAGAAAATAATGTCAGCCCACACATTGTGAAGAGTGTGTATTCAGACATCAACACCTCGGCACACATGCCAGCCCTGCCATCTTCTTGTCACACTCTTATTTTTGCTCTCTGTTTACTGTTTTCTCCTATCATTTCCACTTGGTTCCTTTTAGCTATCTGTTTGATGTGCTTGTCCGGCCTTTTGGCATGTGAAGCACCGTGGAGAGGGAACATATGCTGCTGCTCTCTCTCTTTGCCATCCTGAAATGTGTGGCTTCCTCTGCCTCGTGTCCACCTGTTCCCGCAAGGCTTGCACTAACACTAGTGCTAATCTGCTAAGAGTCACCAGCAGCTACTGCTGACGCGCTAACGGCTGTAATCAACGCTGATGACTGACAACAGCTACTGTAGCACTCTCTGGAGACAGACATGCCTTTCCTGAGAGACTGAATAAAGGCTAACTGGACCAGAGCAAAGAATGAGTTTCCCACAAACATCAGTTATTTTGGCTGAAATTTGCATTACAGCACAGATCAATAGAAAATACAGTATGATACTATTAGAAGCTGAGAACATGAATTTGGATGTACTAATCAGCCAACCAGGCTACTGGATTTGTTGCACAACTGAGCTGCAATCATTCCTCTCATTTAACAGAAGATTAAACATGTATCAATTTCAGGTTTTACTTACTGAGTCTAATTGCGCTTATGGAAAGCTCCCCTAGGATTTCTACTGGAATCCACTGCTTAGCAATGGGAGTTCAGAGGCCACCATAGGAACTTCATTCAAGATCTGAATGAAAATCACAGGCAATAATGATTGACCTACACCTCCTGGGCAAAAAAAAAAAAAAAAAAAAAGGTTATCTAATGCAGGTTTTGCGTCTAGAAGATGTGTTAAAAAGCTATTGCTGTGTCAGAAAAACATCAAAGACAGAATGAAGTTTTTGGCAGAATATGGAAAGTTTGATTCAGAGTGGTTCAGCAGAGTTGTGTGGAGTGATGAATCACGATTTAAGTTGCATGATGATGCTCCAGAGAGGTGTCTTTGAAGATCTGGTGAGAAATACAATAGTGAATGCATCTCTATCACAGTTAAGCATGGAGGAAGAGGTGTTATGGTGTGGGGAGCCTTTTCAGCTGCTGGTCCTGGTGAGCTGCTTCACTGTGAAAAGTCAGTTAATGCTTTGGAATACAGGAGAATATTACAGAAGACCACCAAAAAGTGGTCCATTGGGGTCATGGTCATGGTGGGTTTGGCTTGGTCAAAGTCCAGATTTGAACCCTATAGAGAATATTTGGTCTCATATTAAACACAAACTAACTGGGAAACATTTTTCAACTGGTTATCAACTGTTTGAAGCCATCAACATTGAATGGAACAACATTGACTCTTCTTTCTGTAAAAAGCTGTCCACAATTTTACCCACAAGGCTTAAACATTTAAAGAAATCAAAGGGAAAGCTATACAAGTTATTTTATACATACGTTTAATTCTTGCTAATTTCCTGACCAACAATTTGCTGTTAAGACCATTAAAAGCTTAATATTTTCCCATTTTGGGCTTGTTGCTTTTTTTTTTTTTTGCTCAGGAGTGTATAAGAAGAACCCTGTAGAAATCAGACTATACTGCAAAATGTAACAAATGCCCATATTTATAAATCTTCATGATGCATTCATTTATGCATTAATAAATAAGTAAAAAAAAGTCTTATATTCCAAATCACTGTCATGGAAAGTTTCATTTCCTGATTAGTTGTTAATTTTGTTAATTGAAATGTTAAAAAGTCATTTTTTAAACACAATATTAAAGGAAAAATCCACTCTGAACTGACTTGCATATCAATATTTATAAATCTTTCATTGTGCAAAAGCTTTTGATTTGACTTGCTTTTGAGTCCAAAGCTTTCGCCTTCATGCTAAAACAATCGTCAATGACAACACGTTTGTCTACTCGTAGTTTGCTAACTAGACGAGTCAAGTTTCTGCCATAACGCAGCAGAAATTCGTCATATAGCTGCAATGCATTCTGGAACTTTGAGTCCAAAATTTGCTGTCTCCACTAATCAATATTAATTAGTTACTGCTAATTTCTCACAGGAACAATGAAATACATCGCCAACCGAACAAGTTAGCACCAAAATCACTAAACACCTCGCAAATATTTCAATATAAATATATTTAATGTGTTTAAGGGTGGATTTTTACTTTGATGGGTCCCTGGAGGACTAGTGGTTAGGCCTCGGCACGCTCACTGCCACGGCCTGGGATCGATTCCTGGCCAGGGAACTGACCACTGACACTGGGGTTGCACACAACAGTGCATGCTGAGTGCCGGTCCCAAGCCTGGATAAAACTGGGGAGGGCATCAGGAAGGGCATCTGGTGTTAAAAAAAAAAACTGTGCCAAATCAAATATGCAGTCCTAACTTGAGCAGCTGAAGAAGAAGAACAACAACAAGGGTGGATTTTTCCTAAATAACTCCACACGTGTCTTCCAGCACATAATTACCTCCTACATTACAGCCTTGTCCGTTTCTCTCATTGATCATGCCCTTTATTGATTTCCACAAATCCTGCTGATGAAGAATGAAAATCAGTACAATAGATATTTATCACTGTGGTCATTGATGACGTCATCGAGAACATCTGTCCAGAACTTGGCACACATACATCGTGACTTTTCATTGCAGACAAAACAGAACCACAAAATCACAGGAGCGTATATCTGATTCATGACTGAAGGAGTGTAAACCAGACGAACGCCAGGTGGAGAGTAATCATTGCATGGGAGAGGCACGGTCGGTTTTATTTTTCTGTACCTGGACGATCATTAAACTCTTGGCCACATAAGAAGTCCAGGAGAAGGAGATCTACTTTAATTTTCTTCTGCTTTCAGAGTAATATTGCAGAAAATTATTTTTCATAAGTACCATTTTCAAGTGTGAGAATATGTGTGAGGTGAAGGCTATTTATGTGAGCATGTGTCATTGTGTGAAGAAGAGAAAATGGGTTCGTGAGCGATTGTTCATGCTTGTGTGTGCGTGTGTGTGTGTGTGTGTATGTAATGTGGGAAGCAGAGGGTTGAAATCATTTGCAGGCCCCTCAGGTTTTTAATACATCTACCCTGTGATGGGAGGACGGAGCAAAGTGAAGCCCTTAGTGCTGCGTTACTGCACAGAAGATCGGCACCACATGCATTTCATTAGTACCATTTTCTGATATTATCCTACATAATGAACTCTTTTCTTTCTTATACGAGGGGAGACGTGGTGGATATGTTAAATATCCTTTGTCTCTGGTGTATTTACTGGTATAGAAAACGGCATCCGCATCCTTATTATAGCACCAAGCTTAATAAAGTGATTAAGCTTCCTTCGAAAACAGCATCACCTGCACATCCGTAACACATCCTTAAAGAAGTCAGACCTGCAATACAGCTAAATGGCAAGGCTGTCACGAGTTCTCGACACCCATTTGTACTGACATCATACCACTTTCACACCTGAAGAGTCAAACCCCAGCACACAAATATTCAAACATTCAGCTCACAAAAATGAGAGAAGGGAACAGAAAACAGATAAGAGTTCAATTAACCTGCCCAGTGACAGTCCTCTGAACAGTTTATTTGGAAATGCTTCTCTGAGGTGTGTTTTTGTGGAGAACCGAAAAAGGTCTGAAAGGATTTAGGCTCTGAAATAACATGAAAAGCAGCCTGGCTAACTGCAATTAAGAGCGTAACAGAAGTTAAAAGTTATAAGTCAACATAAGCTAATACAGGATACCCAATATATTTTTTAATATGACTGCAGATTCTCAGTCGTACCCAAAATATGATTTACACACAACTCAATTAAAAGCGCTGAGACATCCCTGACAATAAAGCGCAAGCTCATTTCTCCATCTGGTGCTTGTCTTAAACAACGTCGCGGTGATGAATCTGAATAACAACCTTGTGGTTTTATGCTCCTGTCACATGAAAAATCTTGGCCATGGATGATGTACGTTTGCCAAGGGCTTGATATTTATAGCTCTTCCCGAAAAAGTAAATTGTTCTTTTGCTTTGTGTCATTACTCCGGCCTGTTTTTTCCTTAGCCCAAATCTCTGACATGTAATCAATAGCTGTAAGCATTTTCACTTGCTGCATGCATTACTCTCTGCACAAATTTAGCCATGTGCAAAGCGTCCTATCCACAGGATGAAGAGAATCAGTTACGGTGTGTATGGAATAGATATGAGAAGCTCGGCGAATTAAATTAGAGCTGTTCAGTGGTGATAATTAACGTGTTCACAATCATTCAAACTGTTTCTCTTTACATTTAATCACCATAATGCTTTAAGCACTGAGTGTGTGCATGTATGTGTGTATGTGTGTGTGTGTGCATGTATGTGTGTATGTGTGTGTGTGTGTGTGTGTGCATTCATCTATATCTAACAGCATCATCTCCTGGACCTGTTGATGAGTTGCATCTCTCAAGGATGAATGAAGAGAAGGAGGAAAGAAAGCAGATATATCGATAGGATGATAGATAACCCTAAAAAAAAGCAATGCGTTGAATGTGTGTGAGCTTGAGAAATATAAGAACCACAGTGTGGGACTTTGAGAGGGAGGGAGACGTGGTGGGAAAAGAGAGAACAGGATAAGTGAGAGAGAAACAGAGCAGGATGGAGTGAGGTGGGGTGGGGTGGAGGGGACATGCAGGATAAATCCTTACGACATAATGATTACGGCTCACAAGCCCTTGCTCTGACATGTAGTGGAAGAGGGCGCAGGATTACAACCGGACACAGTAATCCGCGGGCCAAGACATCACTCACCACTGCAAGGACAAGTACTCTCTACAAACAAACACCAGTTTAGTAGATACTGTAGCGACCTCTAACCTACGCGATAATCCCGGTAGAGAGACAAAAACAAGAGTTTTACCGAGAGAAGAAAAGACGAAAGCTCACTGCAGCTTAGAAGTTACAACCTGCAACAAGAACACAAATGGTTGCAGCCCTGCCCGCAGGTCTGTGCCATCTGTCTGCCAGCCTCCATACCCCGTCTGCATCTGGAGTAATTTCAGCTTGTCCTTAATGACAAGAGCACAGTGGACACACGGCTGGAGAACAGGTAATTGAGGTTCAGGATCTTCCAGAGATACTTCAGACGTCTTTTCTGGTGTTCGCCTGAGGGACTACACATGAGCTCCATTTTCATTTGGAAGAATTTGCTGTTTCTTCGATCTACATGTTGGACCATTTTTGCACCTCTTTGGACTTCACATGGAGCCAGATGGAAGGTGAGAACATCCTTTGACTTTGACACGTAATGCTAATTTTATTAGGATCCTTATCACAGTTGATATAAACATACATGCGCACTCCATGTAGTACTCAACTGTCTAGACATCTTTCTATATACGTATTCATTTACTCTATCTTCCCTCGCTCTCCCTCCACTCCTTTCCTTTCCTCTCCCTCCCTCCCTCCCCTCCCTCCCCTCCCTCCTCATCCCACCCTCCCCTCACAGAACAAGATGATGTGACCTTCTGCCAAACTGCTAGAAACCATGCCACCGACACAGCAGGCTCCTCCATCCACTCTGAAATAGACTCAAACAAGTGCGGGAAGCGGAGAGTGAGCCGTACAGAGGGACAGAGTGGGGAGCGAGAGTGAGAGAAAAAGAAACGGGACATTGGAGTCACAGAGGAGGAATGTGTTGTCAGGAGCCTGGGCTGGATGCAGTTTGTCATTGCAGGTAACTGATCACTTTTCATGCTGCTGGAATGTGAGGAGTGAATAGTTAACTACTGCTGGGGCGTGTATGAGTGTTTGTAATGCGTGCAGTGCTGTCATGTATATTTTTAGATTGTGTGTTCTGTGTGTGTGAAACCAATGTGTGACAAGGTCCATGCATTCAGGTGGGTGTACACGTGCGTGAAAGTGCCCTGCTGTATTTGTTAAACAGGTGCTATATTTGCGAGGGAGTTCATCCACAGGTAGGGCGCTTGCTGGGACTGTAAAGGATTTCCTATTTGTCTTTATCTCTCAAATGTGTAACATAACACGGCCTTATTTATCTCTATATTTATGTAGTGGCGTGTAGCCAAAAAGAGACATTTCGTCCTTGCACACCTGCTGTAATAAAGTACACGTAGCTATAATGAGACTAAAAGCAAAGTGAAGTGAGCCGAGCTCCGTAGACACTGAAGTGCTGACAAGCTGCAGTAATTACCGCTGGTCCACTTATTACACAGGCGGGAGTGCATCCCGATGCGTTTAGGACATGGCCCATTGTGAATGTGATAGCACACTTTACCTAAGGGGCTGTGCACCATGGGTAAAAGCATTTTATTGCCTTTTAATAAGAACAGGACAAATGATGTGGGATGAGACAAAGAATAAGAAAGAAAGTGACAGATAAGATAGAAGGTGAGGAACAACACTGGGGGTGAGAAAGACAGCAAGAAAGGATGATGTACCACACTACTGAACTAAGAAGTTCATGATATTGGAATTATAATGTTCTAGCTGACCTAACCAAAAAAATGAGCTAATCCTATAAATGTTACATACATGGCACTGAATATGTGTCAGAATTTTATAAAATAAAACAAACAAAATATTCTAAAATATAAATGTATAAAAGTTGAAAAGTCACATCTGCTTTGACCTTGAGGTCAAAACGTCATGGCTTTTATGGCTCAAGATCTTCACATTATAACTTTATCCTTTCAGGGTGTCAATTTAAAATTTGAGGTTTATTTCACTAGGCTTCGAAATCAGCCAAGGTCATATGAATGACAAAGCAGGAAAAAGTTTATGGAAAATGTTTCTCATGAGGCTGAACAAAACTATTTCCTACTTACTCACCTACATTAAAGTCTACCTTACCTGCTCATTATTCATGTATTAACTCACCTCAAGATGCAATTTATTAGATGAAAATGACTTTTATCTTCATATAATGCACCTTTTCTGATATCCCAAGCCCAGTGTGTGCATTGTAAAGTGAGTTTGAGCCAGCAGAGTGGCCAGTGCAGCTCCAGCAAAAGGCATCTAGTGAGAAAATGCTCATGTTGTGTGGATCAGCAGACTTGTAAAACTATTAACAGTTAAAGCATAATGCCAGGCTCTTCATTACAGATGGTGTTGTAAAGTACATGGCAAAGCACTAAATCAGTAAGGCATTCAGATGAAAAGCGATCCTTGTGGAGGGAGTGTGTGCAGTGTAAATGTCAGTGAAGAGGTAAATGAAGATTCTGGCCTCCTTGAGTGTGCTGCATGTGATGGTGCATGTCAGC